GCCCCACCCCGCCGGCCGTGAGACGCGGTTGGGGACGGCCGGCAGACGCTGCCCAGGGGAGCGGCGTCTGTTCAGCCCTGCGCGGGGCATGACGTCATCCCCGCGACGGGACCAGGCGGGGCGCACGAAGGACGTCGGGGGAGACGTCATCCCCCGGCGCCAGGCGGGAAATTTAAACGCCGGGCCGCCCGTCGAGAGGGGGGGACCGGGAGACTGGGAGAACCCCGGAGGACCGGGGGGAAGCGGATACTGGCGCCCCTGGGTGAGGTAGAACCCCGGGGGCCAGTGAGGGGGAAGGAGGGACTTGTGGGAAGAGGGAGAAGTGACCCAGGACTGGGCTGTGGAACCCGAGTGCGGGGGAGTTTAGGGTTCGCAAACCCCCCCCGTCATTGGCTGGGACGAGTGTCCTGGCTTTAGGGCCCTGGGTCGGGGTCCGGAGTGAGGGCGGGCCCGGACCCCCTCCCTCTCACCCTTTCCCGAAAGAGTGGTCATTGGGGCCACGGTCGCGTATTACGGGATAGGCGCGGCGCGGTGAGTGTAGCGGAATTAAAGGGCTTTGACTAGGAAGCTTAGCGTGTTTGGCGTTAAACCAGTCAGGAAGGGGGGGCCCCCCCCCTTTCCCACCCCCTCCGGGACGGAGGCGTAACATACTGTATGAAATGTTAGTGTGGAAAAGCACTGACTTCTGTGGAAATTGAATAAGGACAGGAACATTGACTCTTAGACATTCACATAAGGTAGATACAGAAGGAGCTGTGAGGGAATTGACTGAGGTCAAGATGAGAGAACAGTCATCTGAAAGACCACAGGGTCTCAAACAGCTTTCAGAAGGCTGTGTTTTTTTTTTAAGTGATATGTTTTCTGGTATAACACTTGAGGTTACAGAAAAGGGAGACAAATTCACCAATCCCTGGAGAAATCTTTCCAGGTACTAAGTTATTTGTCTTCTCAAGGTGACTATTTTAAACACTTTTGTTTTGTTTAGATGTGTAGCCATCCAAATTCATAGATAATTAATGGCTAATTGTTTTTAAGATCTTCCCATAGGGCACTTAATTATCTTTCTTTCCAACTTCACTTCCTTTGCTGGCCCCGCAATTTGAAGTTGCACAAGGGAACTCGATAATTAACTGCATATGATGACATACAGATACACCTGGATAGCACTGGTAGTTAATTACTGATCAGTGCATCTTCATATTAGCTGCTAAGTACTATATTAATAAACTCTTAGTTTAAAATCATAGACCTAGATGTCCTTTTCAATTGCAGCAGCCAGGACTACGATGATCTCTGTCTGGCAAGATCTTTTTCAAGGTGGCTTGTAACAGGATGAGCACAGCAAGCCCACTTGGGGGTAAAAAACCTATTTTCTTAGCTTCCTGCCAAACGTCTGGAAAAAACAACAAAAAGAACAGATGAGAACAATAAGAACGGCCATACTGGGTCAGACTAAAGGTCCATCTAGTCCAGTATCCTGTCTTCCAACACTGGCCAATGCCAGGTACCCCAGAGGGAATGAACAGAACAGGTAATCATGATGTGATTTATCTCCTATTACTCATTCCCAGCTTCTGACAAATAGAGGCTAAAGTGGGGGGAGGGGGAAGAGGAGGCAAAGGGGAGAGGAAAGGGGCCTCTGTAGGCCAGATCCAGACCACCAAGTGGATGGATCTGGACTGTGGATGCCCTGTCACTCCCCTGCCCCCAGGCCTATCAGGGGGCTCCTCCCACCCTCAAGCCCTACTGGCCCGGGGTTGGGGGCAGTTTGCAAAATTGTGATCCTGTACTGCAAGGAGGCAGATTGTGACGGGGCAGGCGCTTTGCCCGCGCTCCCCCGCACTGAAACGGATACCAGGGCAGAAAGCAGGCACCCGGGAAGGCGGGCGGACAACGGGGGGCCGACCGCGGGGAACCCGGAAGCCGTAGCAAGGGCAGAGGCGGCCGGCAATCGGGAGGACTACCCAGCGCTGCCGGATGACGTCAGGAGACGCGACGAGCAGGACGCCAAGAAGGGTGGGGCCCCGAACGCCGGGAGGATGCCAGCCCAGGAGGTGGAGGGGTGGGGGATTCAAAAGGGCGAGTGCCACAAACAAGAGGGGAGCTCCTGGACGTGGGAGGAGGCCAGCCCCCTGCCTGGAGAGCATAGCACGGGAGAACCTCTGCGCACAGACCCCCGCCAGAGGAAGGGACTCAGGGTGAGTCTATCCCCTTGCCGGGGAACCTACTGGGATTGAGCCGGGAAGAAGAGACCGGGGGCGGGGCCGCGAACCCTGCGAGTGGGGGGTTTGGGGAACTCGACCCCCTCCACTGACAAGGGACAGACGTCCCCGTCTTAGGGCCCTGGGTCGGGGCTCGGAGAGTGGGAGGGCCTGAGCCCCCTTCCTGGCCCCTCGGATCCAAGTGAGTCCAGAGCGTGCTGGAGTTATAGGCCTCAGACTGCGGCCAGGCCGTCGGTCACAAGGCAAATACTCCCCTTTTGGGACGACGGCTCACCCGATCTCGGGATGACCTCAGGAGAGTGGGTAACACGTGGTGGAGAACATGGGTATGACCTGAGCCCCGGTTAAGGGGGCAAGGAAAAGGGAAAAGGGGGGGGAGGAGGTCCCTCGAAGCCCGAGACCCCCTCCCCGCAATAGTAATCTGCTAATTTCCTCAGGAAAGATGGAATTGAACAAAGTACTGGACTGGTTGGTAGATAACCAGAAGCAATGGCAGCAGCAGCAGTCGCAGGCATTGCAGCAGATCCTGGACAAATTCCAGGAACAACAAGCCGGGGCCGCCGTGGCCAGCGGTGGAGCAACACCAATGGGAGCCGACGAAGCGACAGTGGGCCGACAACTCCCAATCAGGTTGATGAAATTGGGACCTGAAGATAACCCGGAGGCCCTCCTAGTGACCTTCGAATGGGTGGCTATAGCTGCGAAATGGCCACAGGATCACTGGGTGACCCATTTAGCCCCTTACCTGTTGGGAGCAGCACAACTAGCCTACCGGGGAATGTCGGCAAGGGACGCATTATGCTATTATAATGTAAAGGAGGCGATCCTGGACCAACTCGGGGTTTCCCCCGAATCCCACCATCAGCGGTTCCGGGAAGCCCGATACAGCCCGGGGGAATGCCCTATCGCCGTGGCCCAAAGAGTTAAGGAAGCAGGGATGCGCTGGCTTGAGCCAGAAAATAAGTCCGGAACGCAAGTAGCGGAAACCATAATTTTGGAACAATATGTGAAAATACTCCCCGCTGAGGGACAGCTCTGGGTGAGGAGACACCTTCCTGAGACACTTGAGGAAGACATCACCCTGATGGAATGCTTCCTCGCCGCCGAAGGAGCAGAAACACCCCGCCCCCGGAGCACGCCAAAAGAAACCCACATGGGGGGGCCCCACCCCGGCGAAATTTGGAACAAAGCCACCAGTGGGACACAGGACCAGAACCACGATGGGCCAGGCTACAGGGCACGGATTGGCACCCCGATGGAACCACCCGGAGGGACGAGGCCCAGACGCCGAAGGACAAACCCAGGGCCCCAAGAAAATTCCACGGCCCGAAGGGGGAGTGAAGGGAGCCTGCTACCAATGCAGCCAGGAGGGGCACTTTAAGAAGGACTGCCCCCTCATGGACTGTACCTTTGGGCAAGGCCCCTCGAGAAAGGTAACGGTGGACAAACGGGGGCAGAAACAGATGATGCATGAAATAAGAGTTAACGGACACCGAGTGAGGGCGGTGCTAGACTCTGGGTGTGGGCAGACGATAATAAGGGCCAGCCTCCTGGGGTCTCGGGTGCCCCGGGGACCAAAGGTATACATGAAATGTGTCCATGGGGATATCCATCCCTATGAGACAGCTAGGGTGGAGATCGACGACGGGAGGGTGCGGGATACGTACATGGTAGCCGTAGCACCCAGGC